TGATACACAAATTATTAACCTTCCACATATTACTAGGGTACAAACACAATGTAGAACATGAGGCAATCAACACATTGCCGAAACAATTATTTAGTCACACAAAATCCATTATCAAAGTGTTGCAAAAGTAGTTGTCCAGACAATAACAGCACATATGCCTCTAAACATAAGATTAACCAAAATCCAGTATCCAATAAAACTCCAAGGACTACACAAAGAAACAATACTACAATGGGTAACCTCATATTCTGAATAGATGGTACTGAACAGGCAGTCATCCTGCTAGAGAAAGAGAAAAGAGAGAGAGAGAGACATGTTGTTTCTGCCATTTTGAGTTGTAAAGCTGCAATGATTCGTAAGTATGTACCAATGTTTCAGCCCTACCTACAAGTCCACAGTGCCACAATCTGAAGATTGGCATATTCATTATCTTCTATCACAACAACCTTAAACCTTACTAAGGCCAATTAATCCAATAACTGAACAACATAAATGTCCCCTTACACTTATAAAAAATAATAATTCACAGAACAATTAAACGATAAATGTAAGCAGATTACAAAATTAAACCCAAAAATAAAAAGAGTATATTACTACACAGTCAGACTAATCCCTGTTCTCCCAAGGAACGCATCTGTAGAACTCACTATACACAAGGCATGACTACCTGGCTGCATATTTACACAAACTGTCAATCCTACCACATCCTCAATGTGTCTTGTACAAAGACCCAGTCTCTATGATGGACAAAGATAATCACAGTCAAGTCATATCCAAAATCAACATAAACATGAATAATGGGAAGCATGATGAATGATGACATTTGAGCACCCAAGGATTAGTAACAAACCAACCAACCAACCAGTATTTGGAGGAAGAATCCATTACTTACATGCATATTTTCTGTACATTCATTTTACTGGACATAATCTCAAAATTTCAGAAGTCACTAAATTTTTAATTATCGGCATACAAGCAATATTTCATGCAGAATTTGTAGGTTTTTATGAACTATCTCTGTACCAAATATCGCATTCCCAGTTCAAACAGTACATTGGTCACTACCATTAAACCAAACACTAAATACTTTATAGATTTCAAGCAGCTGTCATGCATTTGGTTTAAATTCTACAAAAAAATTACATGAACATATGTTGCATATTTTTAAAAGATCTATTACCACACACCATTTCAGAGCTCAGTATTGAGCGGTACGGGAGTTGCTCCCAACTAACAACATCATGAGCCCATCATGTTGTTATTAAAAATTATGGAGAATAAAAAAACATTAACTGAGTTTACCTCCAATGACATATTTATACATACTTCAGTGCCAGACTATTCATATACATTCGATATTTCCTTTTCTGAGAAACAATATTGCATTTCTGTAACACAACAATCAACGAACAGATTTATGACCAATATATTTTATTTTGCTGACATAAGAAGCCTCTAATTAAATTGTATTCCTGGAGAGTCAGGTTGCATATTGTTGATCAATATACCAACCAAAATCTGTGACTGTGCTTCATTGTCAATTCCAAAAAATCTTGAGAAAGGACCTGCCTTCAAATGAATCAAACAAATGCTGTAAGACAAACTCACGAATAAAAGTTGTATATGGAAAGCAAAGAAATCTGTCCACCTAGCAATCAGTGAATAATAGTTTGTTTGAAGTCCACACAATTTAACTCTAACAACAAGCACACTGATCTACAAATTCCAACTACCACCATTTGGAGAATACTGCACTTCACTTCAAACATTACAGCCTGCAGAACATTTCAGAAATGGATAAGGTAAAAAGTGCAACCTTCTAGGCCTTCCAAGCAGACTGATGATGATGATGATGATGATTATACACTTGGTATATTCCTTGTCATCAGTGACTATGCTATGTCCCTGTGTGTAAATGCATAGAAAGAGAATGTGTAAAAATGGTATAATTAGAACAATCATGTCGGTACGAAGTCATATGTAACTTGCCAAAAGTAACTGCTCTTGCGGATCTTTTAAAGACAAAGAAGCATGATCCTTTCTTCTTCATAATGCTACCAACAGTGAAATGATGTACCAAGATATGTTGAAGCTGTGGCCCCAGCTTTCCTTGAAAGTTATTTTTACAGTAGGATTAGGTAAAACCCCATTTCTTTTTGAATGAGTGTTTCTAGATGAGCAAGTGCTCAGATGTTGGACAGGAATGGAGGACCAATTCCTTAGCCAGGAACATCTCCAGACCTGTTACCACTTCTCTCCTGTGGTAAATGTTTACAAAGCACAGATACCAGTCACTGGCAGACTTCTGAAAATAAATCTCCTATGCAACTGCTGAGGTGGATTCTGCTGTGCACATGGGACAAATTCCAGCATAACTTGGACATGCCATATAACTAAGGTTGAACATATTGAAACCTGCAGGGAAAACAGGTATTACTGTGCATTTACCAAGTTATTTCATACTTGCAATTCCTAAATATTGCTAGTTCTTAGAGAGAGATGAACAAACTATTATACTTCAACCCCTTTTATTTTTAGTTTTGAATATCTAACTGTACTTTACAAAAATATAAACATACAATTATAATGAATGTAATAATGTTAGTAAATAAGTGCATGCAGTGGTATTTCAAGTGTCCAAAATGCAATTAAATGTCTTCACACAGTGTCCACTAAACAGCACACATTATGGATTACCTTAATTCTGTAAGCTGGTACAGAAGTCTAAAATG